AGTCGCATATTACCCATAATAAATAGAAATAAAGATGATTCTTCTTTACAGATCAAGAAACAAATCATTGAACCTTCTATTTGTCAGTATCGAAGTTTTTTGATAGAAGATTCTAAAGATTGTAAGAAAAGACAAAATGAAAAAGAAAAATTGCAAGAGAAAATAATAATAGCAAGATAATTAAAAATAAAAAATACAAAGATTTTCTCTTAAACATAAATTTAGATTTTCCCTTGGACATAAACTTAGAGAAAAGTCGACTAAAATTGAGTCCTCTACCCAATTTGGTAAGTTGTATAGCAAGTCCAAATTCCTCCTGATTATACAATAGGTGTATTTTTCTTCAACAACAATTTTTTCATTGCTCTACATTATTTGATTTATCTTGTACTTCCCCTCCCCATCGTTTGATCCTTTGTGACGCAACAGAAGCCTGCATCATACCAGAAAAGAAAGAGATTCATGCAAATATTTATGAATATAATTAAATCTTAGTCCTCAATAAAAAGAAACAGAAACGAAAGAACTAAAACCTCTTTCTTCCAATTAGTTCTGTAAACAAGCCAAAAGAGGACTATAGTTTGTAGAATTGTTCCCATTGTCATTCCAACCCAGATGCCCTGAAAAATCATCAGTATAAAAGTTATTGTGAAACTGTAAATGGTTTTGGATTATAGAACTTTATTTTACTGACAACTTACTTGAACACCCCTGTCGAAGATAAATCCCAATACGAGCCCCAAAGGGATGCCAAACAAGTAATAGCATGCAATATTCACGTAAGCAACTATAGCTTGCCATCCAGCCCCGATGGCAACTCCTGCAACCAATATGTTTATCGATGGAATACTATCAGATCTTACTTCTTTCTAATTTGTAGCCCATAAACATGCCATTATCTTTCTAATTCGTAAATAGAAGAGTAATATAAATAAACTTCTCACTATTAATATTTATGTCTCATGACGAACGCATAATTCATAGGATATCATGGAAAAACGTATAAATTGCATGTACCTGATAGAGCTGGTTGAATATTGTTGATGACAACACAAAATGCCAGCAATGGTGTGAGGTCGTACACAAGTTTCTCAACTTCGGCGCTATCTGCAAATAAGGAAGGATACTGTTTCCGGAAAATGATGAGAATGAGGGAGAGGAGGAGACCGAACGAGAAGGAAGAGAAAACCACCACCAGCACTGAAAATTTAGCTGTTCTTGGATGAGCGGCGCCAAGTTCATTTGACACTCTTACACTGCATGATACATTAATATTCATCTGTATGTTAAACTTTGCTACCAACATAAAAATTTATGATCCTGTATACAAGAAAAAGTGTTCTTCGATTATATCTGTAGAAAAGGTAAATTTCCAAAGTAAAAGAGGATACAATTAGATTGAGGCAAAAATAACCTTATTGCTGCATTAAATCCCATGGCTACCATGACAGCCCATCCCACTATGTTCGTGCTGTAAAATTGAAATTAATTTGTTTCAGCAATCATAAAATGGACTTGTACAGCAACAATCTAATAAACAACATAAAAAAACCACCTTTGTTCCGACTAAATTTTGATTTAAAATACATTAGCAATCATATATCGAACTTAAGGAAAGGGGGAATGATAAGATTAGAAAAAACATTGACAATCTGTAACGACGAGTTTATGTGATAAGAAATTGTAAGGTGGATCACATCCTATTATTGGTGCAAGTTGATTGATCTAGAGAATGTGACTTGAATTGTATTAGTTATGGAGTAATATGGATCATAAATTAAATCCAATCATTGGATTTAATCTTGTGGTCAATTACCTATACTAGTGTTGTCATTCTCTTGACCATAATACAATATTTGAATTTTGAATTCAAATGAATTGGCTCTATAATTACAAGACCTCTTGATTCTCTCATACTTGGACTTGGCATAATATTTGAGAGAGAGAGAGAATAAAGAGGTAACCAAGTGGGAGCTTTCCATAACTCCAGCGAAATTCTTGGTGGCTTCCGACGGATTCTTTCTCGATATATCCATTATTATTCCCGTGGACGACGATGCATGATTCGGTGTGACACAAATCTAAGCTCAACATCAATAACACTTCATTGGTGGTGTTAAAGAAGCTTTGGGTCGTTTTTTGTTCAATTTTACACTTTGATAGTTTATTATTCCGCATTGTAGTGTAATAATCTTTTGTATACTACATTTTAAATTCTACAGAAATAAGATTGAAATCTTTCCAAATTGGTAGTATATGCTACAAGTTTCACTTTAAATGCTAAAGATGTTCGTCGTAAAAAATCATTTTAGAGTTATTTCATTGAAAAGTGGTATGAGAAATATTTCTGCACAAAAATTTCGTGTTAAAAGCGAAACAAAGAAAGAAGATCTTCGAGAAAAAAAAGTGACAAGGTATAATTTTAAAATTCAATCACACAACAAAATTAAACTTCTAAAATATTAAAATCGTTATGAAACTTTAATTAAATTATCCAAGAAACAAAACGTAGAAGTAAAGTTAGATTTTATCTAAAAGATTTACAATATAATAAAAATTTCAAGGCAGTAAATTATTAAGATAACTTAAAAATGACTTAGATATTTGATTGTGTTGAATATGTCATAAGATAATTTAAATGAAATTTTACTTGAAATTAGTATTTCTAGTTCATTAAATAACTAAATTATTAGATTCTGGATAAATAAATTTTTATACTAAATCAATATGTTAAATTTAATTATCTTTTGATGTGTCAATATGTAATTTTCAATGCCACTTGATTAAAACCCAGTGCCTATTATTTTTTAAACTTGTTAACATTTTACATTCTAATAAAAAAACCTATGAATAATACTTTATATTAACTTAACATGAAATTTCCATATAGCTTGATTTTCCAAAAAAATAAAAATCCAATTTCCATAGAATTTGATTAAAATATGATATATCATCATTTCATTATATAAATATATCATAATTTCTTTTTCCACGATTATATTTCTTTTCTCTAGGTGACTATTCTATCATATATAAATTAGTTATAAATACAATATCTATTTTTTAAAATATAAATAATTTTTCTAATGTTATGCGCTATCACTTTATCCTATCACCTAAATTGACGGTTCTAAAAAAATGACTAATAAAAAAAGCAAATAAAAACAAAGATAATTACACAAAAAGAAAACAAATTAAGCAAGTTGTATATTGTGTGGACAATAATAAATCAACTCACCATATAGATAAAACATCGACTGCCACTTCTGCGTTCTTCAAGTATCCAGCAAATAGGACTAAGGACATAAAGTACCACGTTTCTAAGCTGTAAATATAAAATATTTGGTAAAGAACTAGATGTTATGAAAGGATTCTTGGTTGTGGTGAAGGGACTACTTTGTGTTTTGCAGGTGAATAAAGTCAATGAAGCTGCCATGTTTGAAAACAAAGAGGAGCAGGTTGTGTTGGACACATCACAAGAAAATAACCAGAAAAATGAACAAGAAGGTGGATCTGGTAATCTGCAAAAAGAGGATGCAGATGATGAAGCTGAAGTTAGAGGAAGTCTTGACTGTCCAAAGTGCCACAAGCAGGAGAAATTTGAAGTCTTTTGTGTGCAAGAAGTAATTTCCAAGAGGGAAGTTGAAGTTGTCAAGGTAGCCACTGAAGTTTATCTGCTGTTTTGCTCACCAAAAATAATCCAGTTAGCAAGATGCATGGAGCATTGGATTGCTAAAGGTTAAAACCGGATGATCAATCATGTAGGGTGTTATTGAAATTTTTTAGTCAATCTTGGTTTAACAACACTCATCAAGACTCAAAGGTGGAGATTGTAGAGAAAATATTGATTCTTGATTCGGTTATTAAACTCCTTAGTTGGATTAGTTAGTGAGTTAGAAAATCAGTTAGGAGCCTTTGGTTCTAACTAATTTTCTGGTAGTGATTTTAGCTGAATATTACACACATATTCTTGTAAGTCTCTTGATCTGTGGCTATAAATAGGACTAGGTCTGATACGTGAAAGGGGGTGGGCAAGAAAATATGGGGAGCACATTTTCTGTAGAGAGCGAAAGTAGGATTGAGAGAGAGAGCTCTCTGCAGGCAATCTTTGTAAACTTTATGGAAGCTTTCTAGTTATTCCTGGTTGGGTGATGAGTGGTGTTGTTTTGTGTAAGATAAGCACTGTAATATTTCCTCTTGTAATGGCAGATTGACTGGGGGTTAAATTCCCTGCATTGGTTGATGAAATTTAGTCCCTAAAACAAGCTATTCTAGTGTCCATTTATCTGAGTTCTTTGCTAGTTTTATATTCTACCATTTCTGCTGCATTTTCTCTCCTGTTTGTCATGCAAATCTGTGAAGATCATTGTTTCCTGGGACATAGGAGATTGGTAAAAATCCTAACAATTTTGTATACCAATTAAGGAAGTTTGTTTAAACATTTTTAAACATGATGAAAATCTTTTTTGTTATAGTCTTGAGTCTTCTGTTAGGAGGTTAAGAAGAAAAGTTAAGATAGAGTTTAAAAAAAAAAAAAAAAAAAGATCAATTTATAATCCGAAAAAATTAATTTGCCGAACTGTAAAGTGCTACAAGGTCATTACAAACATATTGTTTTTAAAATTTTAATATTTAATGCCGTTAGATGAATATACTTCTTCAATTGTTTAATAGAAAATTTTAAAGAATTTATTAATACTTATTTTGAAAATCGAGAAACTGGTAAATTAGTTGTTATAGAAAGTCGCATATTACCCATAATAAATAGAAATAAAGATGATTCTTCTTTACAGATCAAGAAACAAATCATTGAACCTTCTATTTGTCAGTATCGAAGTTTTTTGATAGAAGATTCTAAAGATTGTAAGAAAAGACAAAATGAAAAAGAAAAATTGCAAGAGAAAATAATAATAGCAAGATAATTAAAAATAAAAAATACAAAGATTTTCTCTTAAACATAAATTTAGATTTTCCCTTGGACATAAACTTAGAGAAAAGTCGACTAAAATTGAGTCCTCTACCCAATTTGGTAAGTTGTATAGCAAGTCCAAATTCCTCCTGATTATACAATAGGTGTATTTTTCTTCAACAACAATTTTTTCATTGCTCTACATTATTTGATTTATCTTGTACTTCCCCTCCCCATCGTTTGATCCTTTGTGACGCAACAGAAGCCTGCATCATACCAGAAAAGAAAGAGATTCATGCAAATATTTATGAATATAATTAAATCTTAGTCCTCAATAAAAAGAAACAGAAACGAAAGAACTAAAACCTCTTTCTTCCAATTAGTTCTGTAAACAAGCCAAAAGAGGACTATAGTTTGTAGAATTGTTCCCATTGTCATTCCAACCCAGATGCCCTGAAAAATCATCAGTATAAAAGTTATTGTGAAACTGTAAATGGTTTTGGATTATAGAACTTTATTTTACTGACAACTTACTTGAACACCCCTGTCGAAGATAAATCCCAATACGAGCCCCAAAGGGATGCCAAACAAGTAATAGCATGCAATATTCACGTAAGCAACTATAGCTTGCCATCCAGCCCCGATGGCAACTCCTGCAACCAATATGTTTATCGATGGAATACTATCAGATCTTACTTCTTTCTAATTTGTAGCCCATAAACATGCCATTATCTTTCTAATTCGTAAATAGAAGAGTAATATAAATAAACTTCTCACTATTAATATTTATGTCTCATGACGAACGCATAATTCATAGGATATCATGGAAAAACGTATAAATTGCATGTACCTGATAGAGCTGGTTGAATATTGTTGATGACAACACAAAATGCCAGCAATGGTGTGAGGTCGTACACAAGTTTCTCAACTTCGGCGCTATCTGCAAATAAGGAAGGATACTGTTTCCGGAAAATGATGAGAATGAGGGAGAGGAGGAGACCGAACGAGAAGGAAGAGAAAACCACCACCAGCACTGAAAATTTAGCTGTTCTTGGATGAGCGGCGCCAAGTTCATTTGACACTCTTACACTGCATGATACATTAATATTCATCTGTATGTTAAACTTTGCTACCAACATAAAAATTTATGATCCTGTATACAAGAAAAAGTGTTCTTCGATTATATCTGTAGAAAAGGTAAATTTCCAAAGTAAAAGAGGATACAATTAGATTGAGGCAAAAATAACCTTATTGCTGCATTAAATCCCATGGCTACCATGACAGCCCATCCCACTATGTTCGTGCTGTAAAATTGAAATTAATTTGTTTCAGCAATCATAAAATGGACTTGTACAGCAACAATCTAATAAACAACATAAAAAAACCACCTTTGTTCCGACTAAATTTTGATTTAAAATACATTAGCAATCATATATCGAACTTAAGGAAAGGGGGAATGATAAGATTAGAAAAAACATTGACAATCTGTAACGACGAGTTTATGTGATAAGAAATTGTAAGGTGGATCACATCCTATTATTGGTGCAAGTTGATTGATCTAGAGAATGTGACTTGAATTGTATTAGTTATGGAGTAATATGGATCATAAATTAAATCCAATCATTGGATTTAATCTTGTGGTCAATTACCTATACTAGTGTTGTCATTCTCTTGACCATAATACAATATTTGAATTTTGAATTCAAATGAATTGGCTCTATAATTACAAGACCTCTTGATTCTCTCATACTTGGACTTGGCATAATATTTGAGAGAGAGAGAGAATAAAGAGGTAACCAAGTGGGAGCTTTCCATAACTCCAGCGAAATTCTTGGTGGCTTCCGACGGATTCTTTCTCGATATATCCATTATCATTCCCGTGGACGACGATGCATGATTCGGTGTGACACAAATCTAAGCTCAACATCAATAACACTTCATTGGTGGTGTTAAAGAAGCTTTGGGTCGTTTTTTGTTCAATTTTACACTTTGAGAGTTTATTATTCCGCATTGTAGTGTAATAATCTTTTGTATACTACATTTTAAATTCTACAGAAATAAGATTGAAATCTTTCCANTAGTTATTCCTTGATAGATGGAATTGTTACTCTTATTGGTAAAAACCATCAGAGTTTCCCACCTTTCTTTAAAGTGATATTCATGTCCCAACTTACTATTTATCATACGTAAGTTTTCCTAATAGTTTATAAATTGTAGCCACACTTCCTTAGTTGATTGAAAATGCTTTTTGAACGTAAATAGTTAGATGACATCCAAGTGATGTTTATGATTATGTAAAGGGAATAGGTTTCTTGAACACTAAGATATTTCACAGCGTACGAAAAATCTTTAAGCCCATGTTTGATTGTCATTATTTTTTCATTAAAATGAAAAATATGATCATTATCCATCACATCAAATCACCAATTTTGAATTTCTATCTCTTGTGTGAGGCTTATAATGACTATATTTTCATTCTCATTTTTAAAAAAATGAGAAACAAAAGGGAACTAAATGAAAGTTGAAGTTTACCGTTTGAATTATCTAGAAATTCAAAAGAGAGAGACAATTTTACCCTTTAAGTTCGATATCACATGAGTGTCATATGACCATTTAACATTCAAATAATTTTTCCTTCAAACAGAAAAGGTAGGAGATATTAGTTCAACAAATAGTACAATGAGGACTTGAATATTACACTTACGAAAGGTTAAGGACCTCAGTAGAATTTATCTTATATTTTCTGAATTGCATTGCCCTTGGATTGAAACCGGGATTTAATCCCCGAGTTCTGAAACTCTGCTCATTTTTTATGGTCAATAGGTCAAGAACCAATAAGGTTATCAGATTTGACATCTCACTGCCGTAACGAAATTCCTTTTCAACTCTGCTTTTTGGCCAGATTCAAAATTAGGGTAAGGAGGTAGTTGGGAGATATTTTTATGTAAAAATATATTTTTGAATATTAAATTAATGGAAAATGTGTAATTAAAAAATAAGAAATTTTTTTTATTTACATGTAATAATATTTCAATAAAGAATATATGATTGAAAATAAGAGAGAGAAAAATACATTTTGAAAAAAATGAATATCAAACGAGGCCTAAATATATGAACGCCACATGACGCCCTCGTATTGAAGGGGGCTGTTTGGCTCTGGCCTTATGGCTTTTTTGATTGCTTTGGGAGTGATGTGGTGTCATTTTGACCACGAAAAAAGCAAGATTGGCCATTCTTAAAAAACTTATAAATAAGTAAATTTCTAAAATAAATAAAAAGGCTCATTAAGCTCAAGCTATGAATATATCAAGTTTAATCGTTACCCATTATAAAATAATTAAAAAGTTACTTAAGTTAGTAAATAATGCACAAAAATAAAAAGGAAAGGAGAAATGCAAATTACAAAGAATGAACTCTTTAATTCATCAATTTACACCACAATCCTATCTTAAACGTTTTGATTCATAGAAAAGCTTAAACTGCAAAGATTAACATATACTAACATTTGAAATGCAACAATCTTATGTGAGGCTAGAAGCAAAAAAATAGAAGCCAATCATGATTTCTTAGGATTAGAATCTAGAATTTTAGACAAATTACTATCCAAATTAGAGTTTTTCGGTTTTGTATTTTTTTTATTTACCTTGTAAATTGTGAAAAATAAAAAAAATTATTTAAAACATCGATTCCCTTCAAATACTCACGGCTCTTGTTCAGGAACCAATAATCGATTCAAACCTAGTCGGTTTTTGGTTCCAATTCCTTTTTTTTTTTTTTTTGGGAATCGAACTCCAGTTGGTTTAGTTTTGATTTCAATTTCGATTCAAGAGGTTCAATTTCATTTAAAATGCCCGAACCTAGTTAGATTTCCAGTGTATCCCCACCACAAATTGTTTTTCATGATTTAGAGCGTGTTTAAAAGTGATTTTGAAAATTGATTTTTTGATCGTTAGGAGAAAAGTGGGGTCTACCTGTTAGAGAATAAGTCAAATATGGCGGCTGAAATAATGCGTGAAAAAATCAATTTTTTTGGTGAAAAAATCCCTCTTAAACCGGCCTTATAAAGTTGGAGTATAAAACAAAAGTAAATGGTCCCTTTTTATTTATTATTATCATTCACGTCCCTTTAATCAGAGCACTAACTTATGTTCGTGTCTGTATCGTAAAAGACAAATTTGCTATATTATCTCCTGCATTTGGTATATTTTATTCAATTATTTTTTTGGTATATTCCACCATTGCTAAAGTAAATTTGTCTTAAAACAATAATGTACTCAAATCTCCTTACGTAGTGTGATTTTGACCGACAACATGCCCATAAAAAAATTATACATTCTTATTAAACAAAAGAGGAAAATGTGAAATAACGATTTGTCGTTATAAGAATGATGGCGGGGTAGGATGGAGAAGGCGACCATGTTTTTTCTATATATTTTTTAATTTTCTATTTTATTTGTGCATATACTAAAAATAGAGGGAAAAAATAGGGTTATGTTTCATAATTTTTAAATTAGTGGAGTTTTGGATTCCACGGGAACTGCTCATGTGGATGTTAAATGACTATAACATAAGTTGAATCTTGAAGATAAAATCATCGAATTACTTAATGTCTAGTTTTGAATTATATGAAAATCGCATGCAATTAGATGGTTTCTTCTACGCAGTTATCCATATTTACGGTAAAAACCAAGTTGAAACGTTGGGGACAGGGACTCATCTCCTAACGATTCCTAAACGTTGCCTTTGTTTGATCAGATTCAAGATACATTTTTCTCTTTTTTCGTTTTAATCACATATTATTTAATAAAATAATATTACGTGCAAATTCATAAATTTTCTTATATTTTAACCACGCATTTTTCATCAATTCACGATTTCAAAATATATTTTAACCGGAAAAGTGGGGCTCGAACAGGCACAAAATAGGAGTCATATTATTCGGATTCAGAGATTGTTCGAATTGAATTTTCCCTTCAAAACCATCAAAATAAACAATCTATGACCCGGCAGCAACGAAACACGTGGGACAGGAAGTTCGAATGGTTGTAAAGAAGACAACGCAAGTGCTAGTTGTCAACCGAAAGCAACTGCGTCTGTGGAAATTTTGTTTTCTGAAAGCTAATTTTTGGGTGTGAATATCATTTGGACCCTACTCCCATATGATTTCTGTATTTTTCTAAAAATGTGTCGACGGCAAGGTACGTTTGGTTGTGATTTTTTTTGAGGGATTGTGCTATTCTACCAGGATGGGGGTTGAGGGTTCATAGAACTCCCACCTACCACTCACATGCAAGTTGATGTAGTATTATTTGTGGAAAATGTTATTTGTATCCGGCGTTTGACACGCCGGATTACCTGATGTGAGTGAGGGGGTCGGATCTCACACATTTAATGGTGTGAGGTCCCGACCCCCCACGTGAGTAGCACGTAACCCGGAGTGTCAAACTCCTTGTACCTGTAGCAAGACTCGTTACTTGTGCCATTTTTTGATTGGGTGAGACCCATCCCATTGTGACTAAAAAAAAAAGGTTGAACCTTAATTTTGAGGGCTCACCGCCCCGCTTTTAGAGTTTTGTGAGGGAGGTAAATCGCGGAATGTGCCTCATTGCGACTAATTTGTACAAAATTTGGTAGAATAGCTTTATCCTTTTTTGAGAATAAATTTTATAAAAAATAATTTTTTGAAGAACACACAATTAAAAAATATAAAAAGGTTATGAGTTCAAGTGGTTGAAAATAAATTTGAAAAAAATAAAATTTAAATAATCTATAGCAAACAAGTATTAGTTATGAGATTTTGTTTATATATAGATGTTACAAGCATTCTGAAACTAAAATATTAATTTATTAATTGTTAGAAAATTATAGGAAAAATACCTCGAAAAATAAGTTGACAAGTACCCGAATAATTAGAAGATAGTCAAGAAAGTAATTATATTCGAGATCAATTTTGCTACATGGACATCGAGGCTTACGGTATACAGCCCTCTCACATGGAGGCGAGGCACGCGCATTAATTGGGCATATATACAAGGGGCTTTATTCATTCACGATAATTAAACTGCAAGAAAATCCTCGTGCTCTGTTAGGTCATACTGCTTTAAAAAGTAGCCCCATGGCTAAGAAAACAAATCCAAGACTAATAAGTAGCTTTTTTATTTTTAATCCAACGTTGATATATTGCAATCTGTAATAATTCTTCGAAAAAGAAAATAAATATCGTATAAAACGTTGCTTTTTCATTCATGTAATCAATTTCACCAAAGAAAATTGATTGATTGTAAAAAGAAAAAAAAAACTATTTTTTCTAATAAAATGGCTAGAAGTACTAATAATAATAATGATCCAAATAAAAGCGATGCACAGCTCAATATCACAGTATTTATGATTGACACATGTAAATTGTGCCTATATTTCACACGAATTACGGTGAAGTAGGTGAACTATTGAATTAAAGTCTATCTTTGTGTAAAATTAAAATTAGTTCATTTTTTTTATTTAGTCAAAAATCGAACATTAATTTTAAATACACATTCATAGCT